GCACCAAACCCAGAAAAGGTCTCAATTTACATTCCACTAAGGCTCAGAACACCAATGTATTCATGAATTTAAGGCAAAAATCATATTCTCTAAAAGTAATATTCCAAATGCTAAAGTTTACACTAAAAACACAACCAGTTTTTGACAGGGAGTTTATAACAGTTATCTTGATACAATGAGTATGTAAATTCCATCCAAAAGCTATGCATCATACCTCACTCAAAAGAAGAACACAGGGGGAAAAAAACAACCCAAAAGTTATGCTAGAAACATTAGAAATATTATATTTGTAGAAAGCAGAACTTGAAGAAATAAATCTCCAGGAAAAGGACCTCTGCTTTATTAGAGGGTGGTTACTATCTAAGACACAAGAAGTATTTCTACACTAGCCTGGCACCTTCAATTGATAGAAAAGATAAAGCCTAATGCCAAACATTAGGACATTATGTACAGAGGGAAAAATGACAATCTCGGGGGGGTGGGATGGGAAAGAGGGAGAAGAAAAGAACAGAGGCAGAAGAGCATGAGGCAAGGTGCACTGCTTACATACCTTTATTATCCAGCAAGATGGCTCCTAAGGGCTAAAAAGGGAAGAAAACAACTAGTTCCAGACTTTTAATTATTTCATCTCAGTCCCCAAGCTATCAAACCACACTAGTGCTCACAAAAAGAAAAAAGAAAGAAAACAAAAAACAAAAAAAACCCAAACAAACCCGTAAAGATCACAACCAACTCTGCTGAGGCTATAATTAGTTATTTTTAGGAAATTAAAAATCTCAGGAGTAAGACTCTTGAATTTCAAATAACTCTAATCTGAATGTTACCTCTAACATTACAGACAGAAGGCCTACAAACATCTGCCATCTAAAACATCTTATGACAATTATAAATTATATAGTTTCAAATAGCTAGTGGAGGATATTGTGTTCCCAACACAAGGAAATGGTGCTTGAGATGATGGATATGCTAATTACCCTGATCCGATCACTACACATTATATGTATGAAAACATTACCATGTACCCCACGAACATGTACATTTATTATTTGTCCATAAAATTAAATTAAATAATAAAATATGTTATGAAATGATTAAGTATCAGTTCAATATTAAAATTGGAAAGGAGCGCAGCCATAGGCAGAGATACCAGTGAGAAGAAATGGTTTCAAAACACTGAAAATAATGGTTTTTTAGTTTGTAAGTTATCACAATTTTTTAAATTGTAAGCTTACAGGAATTGTAAGACATTTGTAAAATCAGAAGAAATAATTTCATGGAACAAGAGTTGTTCATTGTATTAATCAAATTCAGCTCCATTTTTTAAAATACAGATCAATACTTCGCTTTTTATCTCATTTTAAGAAGATACACTATAATAAAACATTGAGTCTAAATCAACTAGATACCATTACACATTGTATTTAATTTTTAAAAGATAAACAATTGGCTTTTTAGTGTTTTACACTTTTTCTCAGCAATTTTTTATGACCATATTTGTATTACTTAAACATTTCAAATAAGCTTAATAAGTTTAATAATTAGGAGCCCACAGATTTATGCTCTTTAATCTGACAACCAGTTTGTAGAAACTTAAAGTATTTTAAGAAAACTTTTGCCATTTATTATTAAGCACAAAAAACCCAGTTAAAATAACTCTGGAATTTCTCAAGTCTAAGAGTATAAACAAAGTAGTAGGGTACATCAGTAGTGTTAATTTTAATTAAAGAAGAGTAATATTATCATTTTGTATCTATAATGGAGGGAGGGTGAGATATCATGGTCCCACATGGAAAGAAGACAATTTTCTTTAAATTGGGCCATAAAATTTAAAAATTTCAATAACAACAATAAACCCCACAAGATTACTTAAGATTCTGGAAAAAAGTTTCTGAAGTTCACCTTTCAGTAAAAATGTGTAAAAAAACATAAAAAATTTTGCATAAGAATGAGAGGCTTGCCTATTAATAAAAACTCATTAATTAAAACAGTGCATACTGGTACAAGACTAATAGGTCTGTGAAATCGCATTGGAAGCCTTGAAACCCAAGTACAAAGAAGAATTCAGTCTATAATAAAGATAATATTTCAAAACAGTGGGATAATGAAATGAAAATCCAATAAACGATTTTGGGACAAGTGGCTAAATACTTAGAAACTAAAATTAGGGTTCCAAATCTCATCAGACGACAAAGTAAAATATCAGGTGAATTAAAAAGTGTAAAAAATTAAGAAACAAAGCTCAAAATACTAAAAGGAAACAGAGACTAACACATACTTGAGGGGAATGAGGAAGAAATTACACCAGAGTTGAAAACAAAAGAAAAAACAAAAGACATGTCTATCTAAAACATGCATGTACACATACTCTTCTCCATGTTAAATATACCTACAAAGCTAAAAGACAAAGACTGGAAAAAATCTGTAACATGTAACAGATAACAGAAAAATAACCTTTATATGAAAAAGATGAATTCCACAAGAGACTGCATGCAGCACAGGCAAAGGATTATGAGTGTAATTTACGACTAAATGTAACCAGCATATAAATATATAAAAAGTCTTCAATGGAACTAGTAATTAAAGGAATGAAAATAAAAAGTAGCAAAATGCCTGATACTTAGTACAGGGAAATGGGGCCATCATACAATGTAACCAGGAGGACTATGAATAGATATAACATTTCTATGGGGCAATATGTATCAAGGTTTAAAACGTGTACCACTTCTGGCCCAATAATTGCTCTTTCAGAAATGTCAACTAAGATCATCTCTCAAAGATGTATGCATCACAGTGTTGACTGCAATCTAAACAAATTGGAAACAACCTAAATGCCTATCAATAATAACAAATCTGGCCGGGCGCGGTGGCTCACGCCTGTAATCCTAGCACTCTGGGAGGCCGAGGCGGGTGGATTGTTTGAGCTCAGGAGTTCGAAACCAGCCTGAGCAAGAGCGAGACCCCGTCTCTACTAAAAATAGAAAGAAATTAATCGGACAACTAAAAATATATAGAAAAAATTAGCCAGGCATGGTGGCGCATGCCTGTAGTCCCAGCTACTCGGGAGGCTGAGGCAGGAGGATCGCTTGAGCCCAGGAGTTTGAGGTTGCTGTGAGCTAGGCTGACGCCACAGCACTCACTCTAGCCAGGGCAACAGAGTGAGACTCTGTCTCAAAAAAAAAAAAATAATAATAATAATGACAAATCTTAGTACTTCATAAACCAAAAATACCATGCATCTTTTAAAAATGATGTAGAGATCATACATCTATTGACATGAAAAAAATGATCATGACATTCATTTTGTATGGCAGTTGCATGTGAGCAGAAGCCTTGGATGTCTCATTCTTCACTTATTTCCAGCTCCTAGAACAATGCCTTGCACAAAACACCTTCTCAGTAAGCATTTATTAAATAGATGAATTTTAAAAGGAGGTTACAGAACAATAATCATAATATAGTCCCTTTCTCTCCACCGCCCCCCCCAAACAGAACGAGGGAGGGAGAGGAATAGAGAGGGAGAAATATAATTAGAAGCATAGTCACAAAAGGTTAACAAGGTAATGCAGGTAATTCCTCTCTGTATTGTATAAATTCCTTACATAGTAAGCATTTTTTAATTTTTATGACTGGAAAAAGTAGCAACATTGTTTTTTAAAGAATTCATATATTTAAAATGAACTCCAGAATGTGTTCTGGAGCAAGCACAGTTCAAACTCCAAAAACTAAGAGCAACAATATCCAAGTGGCATGTTTTCTTTCATGTTCAAAGAAATATCAGCATATCTTGAACAAGTAGCATCTTTTCTAATCCCAGGAAGTACCACACTACACTAATAAAATGTAGTGTTTCCAAAAGGAAAGGTACACTTTTTCTGCAGTAAAAAGGAAAAAAACCCTGAAAGTAACTAATTTATTAAAGTCCTTCCCTATCCACTACTAACATAATACCCTATTCTAGTTCATGGTAAAGGCTATTATATACGATTGTTGTTGTTCTTTTTTTACAGGCTAAAAAGCTCAGGGAATCCTTATCAGTAACGGGCTCTACATAATTCTTTCATTTCTTTATATAGGCAGATTTCATCTTAAAGACAGTTAAACAGTCGATATATTGAAACTAGCCACATACCCATGTCTCTATTCATCCCATCACCCTGTTCTACTTTATTCACAGGCTATATCACTATCTGAAACAACCCTATTTGAAATTTTATTTTCTCTGTCTTCCTTCTAGAATGTAAGCTCCGCGAGGACAGGAAGCCTGTCCTGCTCACCATAGTGTCTCCAGCCCAAGAACAGTGAATGGTATCTAGTAGGCCTCGCATTTGTTAAATAAAGAAAAGATGTGGCGGGAGGGGGATAGGTACAAATCTAAACAAGACAACAAATGAGGAATTGAAAAAAGGAAAGAAAACCATACTGAAATGTACAAACTAACAGGACTCAAAGCTATGAAACCAGCTCGGAGGTTTGGTGGACATTTTTCAAGGTAGACAGGTGCTTCACACCTATCTAAGCGCATACAGCTCTTCCAGGAAGAAGAAAATCCACACGGAGGTCTCCAGGTAGCTGTGAGCAGCTCCCAGAAGAGTGGAAACCACCATCATCATAACAGAAATGTGGCCCATGGTCGAGAGAAAAAACAATACACCATACATCTTGGCCCAGATGAAAAAAACCACACGAATCCCCAACACAATCAAACCAAGCAAGCAACCTTCCGCCTGACACGTTAAGAGCGGTCTCCCTTCCTGACTGTGCAGTCGCCTGCAACCCAGCGACCCCTCCACTCGCCAAACACTTTTCCCTGCCAGAGACCCCCAGCGCCAGCCGGTCCAAAGGGAGCGAGAATGGGGGAAACAGTGTGAGAACTAGCTTTCTCCACCCCCACCCGAGCCTAGTCTCCTCCAAAGCGCAAATGCCTTCCTCCCATCCTCGCCTGTCGGTGGAGGCCCCGACCCCTGCCCAGAGCCCCTCCTGTCCTGCCGCCCCTCACTCACGTGTAGATGATGGCCATGAAATGCATCAGCCACAGCACCACGAAGAGGGCGAACCCAAAGACAGCCATTCCCTCCAGGGCCAGGTCCAGCAGCGCCATCCCCTGGCCCGCCGGCCCGGCCCGGCTCGCTCCGGCCGCCAACGCGGACAGCGCTCCCGCAAGAGGAGGACAGGGGGTGGGCGCCCGGTGCCGGGGCGCGGGAGGCGAGAGGAAGGTGGGGAGAGGAAGGGGCGGAGGGGTGTGGGGACGGAAGGGGCGGGCAGGGCCTGCGCGCCCCCGGCGGCGTGCTCTCGCCCGCGCTCTGTCCTCGGCGCACTCGCGGGCGCTGCGGTGGCCGGGTTCTGTGGGCAGGGCGGCCGTGGTCCTGCGCTCCGGCTCGCCTCTCCGGACTCTGGCGGCCGCCGGCCGGAGCCTGCGCGCCGCCGCCCCGCCGCCTCCCCGCCGGGCTCCCGGCCGTGCAGCTGCGTCGCCCTGCTCCGCCGCCGCAGCTCCGCGCACTAATGGAAACCGGCGGCTCGCACCCCGACTCCCCAGCACGCTCCACCCCACCCCGCCCCCGCCTCTGGACCCGCGGTGCCCGCCCCTCCACGCCCACCTTGCCGCCCGCGCGCCCGCTGCGTATCTGGCGGGAGCGCGCCCCGGGGAAGCTTCTGTCGCTACGCGCAGGCCGGGTTTTTCCCGGCTTCTCTCTCCGGCTGCCGCCCACCTAGCCGCGCCGGGCGGAGGCACCCGGAGCAGGCAGCACTGCAGCCCTGGGCTGGGCTCCCTCGTCGGTGGCGGCTCCGGACCGTGTATCCGGCTCCAAGGCTGCTCTCCCTGTGTCTGACTCTCCTGTTCCAAGGCCCCCAGAGAAAGACACGGAGTTCCAGGCAGCTTGTCTCGAAACTCAACTTCCAACGCCGTGTCCGCAGCCTCCCCGCGGGACATTACTCGGAACGGCTAGGCCCTCCAGGCCAGGATCCTGGGCGCAAGGGTTTCTTTCTCATTGCCTGCCCCACTCGCTGCTTTTAATGCCGCGGGATCTTGGATCAAATCGGACCCGAGAGTAAAATAATCTCCATGTGCTTTAACAGATCTCTAAGCGCCTTGGATGTATTATAAAAGAAATTCTCGAATTCAGAATGTATAGAATCAGTTGACATTGAAATCCCCTAAGACTGCTGTCCAATACGGTAGCCACATGGGGCTGTGCGTGTAAACAATACACCGATGTGGAAGAAATCGCATTAATAAATTTTATATTGATTACGTGTTGAAACGATACTATCTTGGATATATTGGGTTAAATTACGAAATAAATTTTACTTCAACATTTTTTTTAACGTGGTTAGCTACTAGAAAATTTTAACTACACATGTGGACAGCACTGCTCTAAAATGGAAAGAAGTGTTACTTTGGATAGTAAAGTAACTTAGTATTTATCCTAATGTTCTCAGTCTGCCCAAGAAGATGCTAGTACTAAATGTTTTTGTTTGTTTCTTTAACCTAGATGAATTTATATTGTTCCTCGTTTATTTTATGTTTAAACAATGTTTACTATTGCAAATGATTTCCTTTTAAATATTCCATGACCTCTCTTGAGAGATTTCAGAATTGAATTCAATTTTGTAAAGTTTATTATTGTTATTTATTATAGTTAATGATTGAATGAGCTACCTCAATCTACAATTAAGTGATAAACTATAATTAGAACAGTTTAGTGTCTGTATTGAGAACCAATCCTGGTTTCGATATCCTTTATTCTACCGGTGTAAAGTCAGTGGGAAAGAACAGTGCTTAGAAATCAAATCCCCCTTGTTGAATGTTACTGGTTGATAAAAGTAGGATAGAATCCTAACATGAAAATAACATTTCAAACAGAAACTTTCAAATGTCACTATTGTAGTTAGTCAATTCCAAGATACACTTTTACAAAACACTTTAACACATCCTAACATTTCTGAAATGGAAATGCCTCTCACAGTCAATGCCATCTTCACAATTAATTGGCATGTGCTTTTTCTTAGTCAAATATAATGCTGCATTTATAATAAATGCTGTCTTAGACTTGATGAACTACTCAGTATAGCATTTTGTTATATTCTGCATTTTTCCAAAATGTTTTCTGGAACCTTACAACAAAAGATTTTATACAGTATGAAAATACTGTATAAAAGGTGAAAGTGGATATTCTTAAGAGTTAACAAATTTTCTGGAATTGAGTATAATCAGTTGGTTAAAGGTCAGTTATACTTGACCCTAGTTAAACTAGGTTTGCCCAAACCTGGTTTTGAAGCAATCACTTTAGAATATGTAATCCTAATATTCTGTAGATAGTGTACCTTCCAAAGTCTATATTTCTTCCACGTGGCAGAATAGGATTCTAGCAAAGATCCTGATTGCTGATCTCAGTTAACTTTTTCTTTTTATTTGGTTGTTTATTTAAAGGGCCCTTCTCTCTTTGCGAAAAATAATTTTACCAAGTTCAGTTTCTGATTTTTCCCATATTAGAATTCATACATTTTTAAGGAGCAATGTTTTTAGAAGCAAACAAAATCCAAATTTGACTGTTATTGAATTGCCATAGTTTATCGAACGTTAATGAGAAAATAATTCAGAATGTTTAATCAAACCAAGTAGTTGAAACACATTTTTGGCTTGAACCAAACCCAAACCAAAATAATTTAACTATAGCTGATTCTAAACTGAAATGAAATGAAAATTGCATTGGTTCAAGTCCCATTTCCCAGAAAAGAAAAAAGCAGAAGGCTGGGAAAACACAGTCATATAAATTATTTCAGAGAAACAAAACAATTAAACTATGGCAAGTTAATACTCTTAGGTATATTTTCCCAAAATGCCTATATTTAAATTTTCATGGTACACTTTTAAAAGTTACCATATTTTGAATAATTGAGATTCTTGATTTGGGTTGTATCTAAGAAAATCATCTTTGATAAAATTTCTAGATAAATCGAGTTTAAACTGTGACATTGGAAGCTACATACGACAAAAAGACTGAAAGAAATGACATCAGATGAGTATTTGTCTTTGAGAAATAGAATAGGTTGATTTTTAAAAATCTGCTTTTTTATATGAGCATTATTATTTTTATGATGAAAAATGACTTTTTCTGTTTTACGAAGTTCTTCGTTGATTAAAAACCATGTGGTAATTTTTCATGATTTATTTTTTAAAATTAGTAAGTAATACAGCCACTCTGCAAGACAATTTAGCAATTTCTTACAAAACTGAGCATACTCATACCACATGACCCAGCACTTGCACTCCTTGGTATTTACCCAAGCGAGTTGAAAACTTAGCCCACACAAAAATCTGCATGTGGATGTTTATAGGATCATACAAACTATATGACTGGGAGTGGCTGGGTGGGGCAGTGCAGGAGCGTATATGGGAACTCAATGTACTTTCTACTCAATTTTGCTGTGATCCTAAAACTGCTCTAAAAACTAAAGCCTATTTTTAAAAAATTACTAAGGGCTGCACTAAAAAATATATATTATGTATATATTTATACAAATATATTATATTATATATATAACTGGAAATGATATAAATGTCTGAATAAGTAAGATGAAAACTAGTTTGCCATCAGATCCCAGGGCTTAGCACCTTGTGGGCACTCAAATATTTGTTGAATGAATGGATGCATTAATCTACATTGACAGAAGTCACTGGGGAAACTTCTCAGCTTTCTCCTTTGTCTGTAAATATTTTTTAAATGTTTTTTCTTTATGTAAAAAAAAAAATCCACATTAACTACCATACCCCATCCTTCATCTTACAAAATTAAGCCACAGAGTTAGAGTAACTATGTATTAGTTCACCTAATCACAACCTAAAGACCTATTTCAAAGCCCACACCCTGTTTGACAGTCAACAGCAGACTTTTCATTTCAATATTGGACATATCTTCCATCTTTGTCAGTATTATAAAGAATCTTTCATATATGCAGTTTAAAGATCACAATTCAGTTCCCCATGGTTAACGTGGTGTTAAAAGGCAGGCATACTGTACATTTTCGGCCCTGTAAAAACTTTAAAAATAAGGTGAAAACAAGGTGATCATCCAGAAATTGAGTAAATTTGAAGTTTCAAAAACAAAGTTAGAATCAATTGACATGAAATTTGTGGTGCTAGTGCCAAGAGAAACAATAAATACTGTCTTTTTTTCTTTTCTAAGTGTGTTTGGAATTAGTACAAAAAATACCTTAACTACTTATCAGTTCAAGTGATTAACTTACATTGGTTTGTTACCCATACAATGGGAACTTTGTAAAAGCATTCAGATCCTAAGATACTATATTACTGTGAATAGCCTTCAAACCATACAAAAGTTCTAGGCAAATTATCAGTTCAGGGCCTGATCTTGATAAACCACTGGTACGGTGTGTTTATACGTGTGGGTGTGGCCCAGGGGAATGACTAGAGTTCACTAGAGTTCATGTCATTCTCAGCAAAGCAGCTAACTCATATTCAAATGCCTAATTAAAATCTATTTTACCACATAACCATTTTTCCTTTAAAATTTCATATTTGATCTTGTTTTAATCCATAATTTGATAGGTTGAAGTGCTAACGTTCATTCTGAAAGGACACTAAATTTAAAAGATTTCCAAATATGCCCCATGTAAATACCAACTATTTTTCTTCTGAAAAATGTTTTGAAATTTCTTTCCTTTTAGATAGTTATGACTCACTCCAGTTTATTTATTAGAGTTCATAATGTTAAAATCTTCACCTAGGCTATGTGTGTGGTGTGTGTGTGTGTGTGTGTGTGTGTGTGTGTGTGTGTAAACAAACTTGGTAAGTTTATTAGAGAGAGAGAGAGAGAGATTGAACACAAGAACATAAATTACATGCCAGGCAACTTTTAAAAATACTAACTTGACTTTCACAGTCATGAAATGTACAACTGGAAACCATAAAGATTAAGTTTAAATACTCAGGTGACATTTGATTAAGTGAGGGTGATGAAGTTTGTGTGCAGGTCTGTCAGATTCCAAAGCCAATGCTGTTTATATAAGCAAGGACAGTATTGAGTTAATTTAAACAATATGTAGTATATGTTCAACTCTCAAAATTCAGTTTGCAAAGTCGATTTTGGTCTACCATTATTCAGTTTGGTCATTAATGTTATGTATATTTCACCATCTAAGACTTAGGAAAGTCAATGTCACCATCTGAGATTTAGGAAAGCATATTAAAAATGATCATAGGCCAGGCGTGGTAGCTCACGCCTGTAATCCTAGCACTCTGGGCCGAGGTGGGTGGATCGTTTGAGCTCAGGAGTTTGAGACCAGCCTGAGCAAGAGCGAGACCCCGTCTCTACTAAAAATAGAAAGAAATTAGCTAGACAACTAAAAACATATAGAAAAAATTAGCCGGGCATGGTGGTGCATG